GGTTCAAGAACCCAGTGGAAGTTGAAGGGGAAGAAGAAAGGGAAAAGGAAAGAGAAAGGGAAAGGAGAGAGGAGAAAAAAAAAAAAAAAAAAAAAACTGGGGGACAGGCATTAACGGTGTGATGGACATTAACAGTGTGTAGAAGATTTGATGGAAGTTAGTTTTTCGTCCAATTGGGACCTTATTCAAGAACCCAGTGGAAGTTGAAGGGGAAGAAGAAAGGGAAAAGGAAAGAGAAAGGGAAAGGAGAAAGAGAGGAGAAAAAAAAAAAAAAAAACTAGGGGGACAGGCATTAACGGTGTGATGGACATTAACAGTGTGTAGAAGATTTGATGGAAGTTAGTTTTTCGTCCAATTGGGACCTTATTTGAGAATTTTTTGGAGTTTAAGACCTTAATTGAGTGTAATTGAAGTTCGGTCCAAAATTGCAAATTTTGTATAAGTTTGGGTCCTTATGTCATATTTTTGCCCTTTTTCAAAAGGAATATCTGTAACTAAACTATTCACACTTTCTACCCCAAGCTCCAATATGTGGCCTTTAAAAATGCCCTTTAATGGTGATTTATTGTATGGGTTAAGTGTCTTTTTATGCTATAAGTGGTCCTCTCCCCACTACGTGGGTATTGGTGTTTTTTTTTTTTTTTTTTGGTGGGGGGATTGGTGTTTAATGAGCCACTTATTTAGCCTCTTATTTTAATTATAAGTAAGATGTTCACATGTATTTGAATTATTAGAAGAACTTCCAAATTAAGTTGACCTTCAAAGTTGAAGCCTCCAATCCATATTTATTTTGTAAGTCATTACAAAGGTTAATCATTGTGTTTTTATCTATTCTAAACATATTGATGCATTTGGTATTATTCTAATAGCCACATGTACCAAATTTAAAAAGAATTTATCCAAGATTTCTTATTTATATAGTTTAAATTATACCAATTTATTATTCTAATAATTGATATTATCATTTGACATTATTTTTTCATCGTCTTCAATTAATACCCTTTCAAAGTCTTTTATATCTGCATTTACTTCCATATCCATATCTATAAAATAAAAATAAAAATAAAAAAAGGAAAAATGACAATAATGTTGTGAAAAAAATAAAATTAAATTAAATAATAGTAAATATTCATGAAATTTTAAATTAAATAGATATAAATAAGCTTTAAAAAGCAAACATATTAATATAATAATCATAATAATAGTAATTCCAGTAATAAAAAAAACAATATAAAATAACTAATAAAAATTGAATGTATAGCCTCTACAAAGTCTTAAAAAGATAGCGTAAAAAGAGAATCTAATTTGACAATTTATAGCCTCCCCTCCACAAGCCATAATAATACTATAAATAGTTTAAATTTGTTTTTGTCTTCATGGCAATATACACTTCTCTCCTTAGCTTTTTCTCAAAAAAATCCACTAAATAATGTAGCTCACAATTGGGATCCATATCTGGCAAAGTAAATCATTCAAAATCTTTGCAGCAGTATAACCAGTTGCTCCTAAAAATTGCTCCCATAGAAGATATTCTGCTAACCGTAGTGTCTTGTACTTTTGTCATTTGATTAGTTATCAACACTATACCAGTTTGGGGTTTTTTTGGCTTTGTCATCATTTTTTATTTGTTTTAGTTGTGAACTAGTCATCCTATCAATTTTCTCATGTTTCTTGCCAATGAACCTGGATTTTTCATACAAATTTTTACTTTCAAAAACTCCAAGGTGTTGTTGCGTAAGGGTATTAAATGTAGTCCCATTCCCTCTGAATTCATTTAAATTGTGTTCAAAGTCTTTCTCCAAACTAATAGTAGTATCCTCATCAACTACTTTATCACCATCAATTTCCCTAGGCAGTTGACCAATAAAGGGAGAATATTCATGATTTCCTCTTGTTACATTATCAAATAGCTTTTTTCCTACACCTTTCTCTCATAATTTTTCATGTTCTGGGTTTTCTTGAAATATAAATCAAATTTATTACTTACAATTGACTAACTATTAAAATTACTTTATAAAATGTTTAAGCATCAAAATGTATATCTACTTTTAATCCTTTATTCCCATCATTTAGGAGAAGCATTTATCATCTAGAAATAAAATTCTATCCTAACTCAATTTGATTGTTTTTTTTTTTTTTTCTTAATCAAATCTTTCCTTAGTTTACACTAATCCCTCATCCAATCCAATCCCATTTGTTTTTTAATTAGGATTTTTTAAGAGATACTGATTAGTATACACTCTATTTCAACATATTATACAACTCACTATTCAAAAAAATTATTATTATTTGATATAAAATTAAAAATGAACAAGCTTAAAAGTGCTATTAAGCACATAAGATGCAGAAATTGACTGAATTAACTATAATATAATTATATTTTTAATAGCTAAATCTAATTGATATCAAAAAGTGTGTTGAATTGAGTGTATACCAATTATTTTCTTTTTTTAAAATATACCCCTTTGCTTCCATTTCATTTAGTATCCATTGCCAACTAACTTTACCCTAATGACTTCCAACTTTTTTTATCAAGGTATATCCCAAAACACAAATATCAATAAACAAGTTGAATTTAAGTTGAATTTTTCAAGTTTATTTCTTGCAAGCCATAGATAAACAATATGGCAATTATGAATAATATAATATATTTATTAAAAGATAATTAGTACACCTTTTTATTTAACATATATTACAACATATTTATTAAAAAATTATTACTTTTAAATTTGAATTAAAAATGAGAAAGCTAAAAACCCACAGATTTTAATGGTTGAACTAGTGGATATTCTAAGGTGTATTAAACCAAATTGTATACTAATTATTATCCATATTTATTATAGCAAAAGAAATATTATTAAAAAGTTCATATATTTTCACTATATTAGGGTCTATTTGATATAGCGTTTAAAATTCAATGAATAGTGAATAATAAGTAGTTGATAGGGGATGGTGGTAACGAGTAACAAATGACAATTAACAGATGGTGATTAGCA